TACTTTATTCTCTAATAATAATATAATTCGAAACTTTGAAAATGTTAAAAAAATAAAAATAAAAAATTAAATTAAATTAAACAGGGCAAAATGTTGCCCCGTCCCCGCGCCCCCACAGGCCCCGCTCCATTGCCATCACTACTCTCACTCTCTCTCTGAATTTCTGATCTACGGATGATTTCGATGCGAATGTTGAAGATATATTTACAATGATTTTATTTTTTTACCAACTTAGAAATTTATGTTTTTTGAACACATATTAGCATAAAGTTGGAATGTTTTACAATATAATCAAATTAACTGGAAAAAATGTCGTAAAATTATTTCTAAAGTTTTTAAACCGAACATATTTTCTAGTTTCTTGTTTTGAGAAATAGTTTTTCATATTAACAAATCAAACGCGTTTTTTTAGAATTTTAAAATAATCTCTCAAAACAAAAAACTAAAAATAAATTCAAAACTAAAAACAAAAAACATAAACACAAATCAAATGTACCATTAATAATTAATAAGAAATCTCGAGTCATGAAAAGTTAAATATGTATTACCCACTTATGATGCTAATTGTCACGAACCTAGTTTGGTTACATCCAAACAACTAGAATCTTGCGGTCTTAACGTTCAACAATTCCTGTCCCTCACGAGAAAACGTTAAGTCAACCTTTCCACGCTCACAAATAATTTAACCAATGAAACTAAATTATAACCACTTTGAGAAGATAATTTTAGAGCAAGGAATATGTGGAAAATAAGTAAGGTTGGGAAAACTTTCTTTGTGTGAATGAAAGGGAAAACTTTACAATCTCTTTAATGAATAAACTCATTTCACCCTATATGATTTACAAATGAGACTTCCATTTCTATTTATAGGCAAAAGCCTTGCAAGTTACTTTCGAATCAATGGCCATGATTTATTTGATTCAAGTGCCCTCATTGAATGCAAGTTGATTTAAACCTCATTTGACAAGTTGCATTCCACTTTACAACTCATGCTTAGTTGTCATCAAGTGAACATTGTCTACAATTTTCCTTGCAGGTGGATACAACTCGTGCTTAGCTTGCATCTTGATATTATTATTGCCAACTCGATCTTAACTTGCATCTTAATAATATCTTGCAAGTGGCCAAGTGGTACAAGTAGACAAGTTGTGCAAGTTGCCCACTTGCATCTCCAAAATATCCGGCTACATGTTCATGTATTTTTTCCTTCCAAAATGGCTGGTTCGAGATTTAGAAAAATCTCATTAACGTGCTGAAAAATTGCCTTGCTTCAGGCAGCCTGCGTCCCCAGCCTGAGTCTGCCTACGTCCCCTGCCGCAAGCTGTCTACGTCCCTTGCCTGAATCTGCATGCGTCCCCTCTCGCAAGCTATTCTATCCTGCTGAAACGTGTTATCAGCGATGTTTTGCGGCCGCTACCGGGACGGATCGATCGCGATCGTGTGGGACGTAAGTTGCTGCTATTGCTGCTTCTTTTTCTGTACTGATTAATACATAAAGTGACATGTTATGCCTTTTTTTTGCTAAACGAAAACAATTTTATAACACTATCAATCCGATGAGAATGGTCCATTACCTTAAAACACTTGTTTTCCTTAAAATAGTCAACCCAACCTACAATTTGACGAGTCAGCTATGTTTTTAGAAGCCTATTTGGTAGAGCTTTTATGTCAATTAAAATTAATTTTTTGACCGTTATTTCATTATTTCAGTTGTCAGTTTTGAATTTTTCTCTCACAAGTAGGACCTACTTTATTTCTAACGGTAAAAATTTCAATTATCAAAATCTCTACCAAACAAGCACTAGGTCTTTAATTCGTCGTGTTTTATTTAAAAAATTTACCTTTCAAGGACATGATAACAAACGTTTAATGGATATAAAAAGGGTGATTAGCACAAAACGTTTCTACATTTCAATATTATTGTGCAAAACGTTCATACCTTTTATTTTTTTTGACATTTTCACCCTTATTTTTATATTACATTGCAAAAATTGTCATTTTCATCCATTTACTCAATTAAAAGCTGTAAAATGATGAATATACCATCATATTTAAATAAAACAAAAATAAAATGAAATGGAATAAAATTAAAGAACAAATTGCAATTATACTCCCAAACTTTTTAAAAAATTGCAAATGAATCTAAATGAATTATTAAAAGGGTAATTAGCACAAAACTTCCATACCTTTTAATTTTTGGTATTTCCACCATTATTTTCACATTTCATTTTGAAAATCATCATTTTCATCCATTTTTTCAATTTAAAGTTGTAAAATAACAAATACACCCTCTTATTTAAATAAAACAAAAATAAAGAAAAGAGAAATAAAGAACAAATTGAAACTGTATCCTAATTTTTTCAAAAAAAATAAAAATATATTTCAAATAAATAATTACAAAAAACCACTTTTCTTTTTTAATTATTTATTTGGAATTTATTTGTATTTTTTTTAAAAATTTGAGAGTGTAGTTGTAATTTGTTCTTTATTTCTATTTTATTTATATAGAATGATATATTCATCATTTTATAACTTTTAATTAAGTAAATGGATGAAAATGACGATTTTCGTAATGTAATTTGAAAATAAGGGTGAAAATTCAAAAAAATAAAATGAATAGCCGTTTTGCACAATGACATTAAAAAGAAAGAAGATTTTGTGCTAATCACCCTTTTAATAATTTATTTGGATTCATTTGCAGTTTTTAAAAAGTTTTGGAGTATAATTACAATTAGTTCTTTATTATTATTTTTTTTTATTTAAATAGGACACTATATTTATTATTTTACATTTTTTTTATTGAGAAATTGGATGAAAATAACATTTTTCCTCAATGAAAGGTGAAAATAGGGGTAAAAATGTCAGAAATGAAAGATAATGACGTTTTGCACAATAACATTAAAATGTAATGACGTGTTGTGCTAATTCTCCCGTATAAATAAGTCGATATGGACAGATGACCATACTAAAGTTGTCTTTTATAACCAGTTTTAACTATACCAAATGGAAGTGACATGAATAGTTAAACTGAAAATGACAAGATAAATAAATTAAAATACTTAATAAATTCAATTTTCATTTTCTACACCTATATCAATAAAATATCTAAAATTGATTAGCCAATGATTTAGCATTAATCCATTATAAATGCTTTTAGTGCCACTCACATTAGAAGATTGATTCTTGTTTTATATTTCAAAGGGATTAGATCATCATCGGACACAAAATTCAAACCATGGGTATGCTTATATTCAACTAATTAATTATTTATGTAAGAAATAATTTAAGACTTCACCTCAAATTTGAAACTTATTTTGTCGATCAACGAACAAAAAACAAAAGAGGATCACTAATATTTTCCTTGTGTCTTTTCATTTCCTTCTCCCATTTTGTTTTATAAAACGAGTGTTTTTTTTATTTTTCCTCCCTTTTTTTGCAATTTTCATTTTTAATTTTTTTCTAAATTATTTCCATTTGAACTTAAAGATTTGGGAAGTTATTATTGTTATGAAGAGAACATACAAATAATCAGAAAAAGTCAGCATAAATAAAGCTACTTTTTGGCTTTTGAAGATTCTAAGCTCTTTCCGATAGCAAACAATCATGCTACATGATCAGAGTTAAAGATACAAAACTATTTCCAGACTGCCTTGGCAGTTTTTCAATGGAGAATGGGAGAAAATAACATCACAAAAACACTCAATCATGAACTGCCATATCAATCTGTTTTTCCATTTTTCCCCTGTTTGTTCAGCATTATTCGATAGTAAATTCAAATAATCTCAAATTTGACTACGAGAAAAATCTTATACAGTTTGCTCGTCTACTTAAATTAAGCAATACTGCACGGAACAATGTTTATTTTAGGGATTAAATGTTTAAATTATACTGTCGAGAGCAAGTAACAACACCAACAAAAAATAAAACAAAAAACCGCAATGTGTTTCTCCATACAAAAAAAGAGCCTTGCGCTGATACTCTCACTTGTTAGACTAACTGACGAAGGCTGGATTTTAATATTTATCCGAATCTAAAATACCTAACCATTCGTATTCAAAAGTCGATTTTTCTCTTAATAATAAAATATGGTTAATTGCAACATATCACCCCAAAATAAATGAAATAAAAAACTACCCACATATTTTGATAAATATTCCAAAAATATCTACAATATTCTTACCTTTTACCGATAAATTATATATTCCAAAAGTTTCAATCAAGTCCAATTAATTAATTCATGTTAATAAGGATTCGGATTCACTTTCGAACAAATTAGAAATATCGAGACAGCGCCTAAAGAAACACACTCAAAAAATTATGCAAACATGTCTAAAAACTTCTTATCAAAAGCAACTTTTCACTTTCATAAACCTTGTCAAACAGGTTCCTAGCTCAATTTTCAAAGTTGAAACTGACCACCATACCGTCTCTCTGATCCTCAAGCCCACAAAAACACCAAGTCATGGGTTACTACTTACTAAATTTCATGTTCCTATGAATTTCCCCAAGTATCATGACCATGGGTGGAGCGAAGCCCGCACTGGATTTTTGGGCAGAATAATTTTTTTTTTTTTCTTTTTTTTCAAACCAACTTCTAATGTTTCAGATATCAAGAGTAGTGAATATCCATAGTCTTTTTCCAATATTCGATATCTAGCTCGGAGAGAGAATCCTTGTTAGACCCATTCCCTCAAAATTCAATTGACCTAAACCCATTCATTCATTTGAATCAATCCAACTCTTTGTCTGTAAGTGAGAGAATTCGTCTCTGTTGCAGCGTTGTAGTTCCGATCCACACAGAGCATTAAAACTCGCAAGGAACAAGTTAAATATATAAATTATGTCGTTTTTATTACTATCGTACTATTATTTTATTTTTTTAACGTCATTAAATCCACGACCAAAGCCTCGACATTTGACGTCGAAAAAATTTTGCTCGCGCTGAACTAAAATCCCGACTCTGCCCCTGATCATGACAACCCGTTAAATGGACAAAAGAATTTGGAAAGGCTATCTAACTTAAACTGCAGATAACAAGAAAAGTGAGGCGATTAAGCCCGAATTTGTTCTTGTCCACTAATAAGATACACTACCATTTAAGTAGACAAAAATGCAAGTTAAACCTCATTTTGCCATTTTATAATGATGATACACAATACAAAAATTGATCAATATTACTGAAACGCTGGGTGGTGGTGGTGCTCGTTTATGCTCTTCTAGCATCTTTAGAACTGAAGCATTCTGATCAATACTTGAGCGCAACAGTAATTTGACTGCTCGTGTCATGAAGTAAATTAACTACATCAAAACGACAATGCCACCTGTATACATTGGTTGAAATAAGACTTTGTATTGGGTACAAACAGCACCATTCGTTCTACAACTCGCAAAATGAACTCATGTAAGATTTCAAAAACCAACACCCTGCTACAGGCCAAGTATGAAGCAGAGTTAGGAATTATAACCTCGGATACGTAAACAATCAGAGATATTCATTGAATTTTCGAAAATTGGAAGACTATAAATAATTTTCTGGAACAAAACCAAGAATATGGAGACACAACATAAATAGAAGAACAGATCAGGATTCGAACCTGACATTGACATTAACTCTAAATTATTTCCATTTGAACTTAAAGATTTGGGAAGTTATTATTGTTATGAAGAGAACATACAAATAATCAGAAAAAGTCAGTATAAATAAAGCTACTTTTTGGCTTTTGAAGATTCTAAGTTCTTTCCGATAGCAAACAATCATGCTACATGGTCAGAGTTAATGAAACAAAAGTATTTCTAGACTGCCTTGGCAGTTTTTCAATGGAGAATGGGAAAAAATAACATCATAAAAACACTCAATCATGAACTGCCATATCAATCTGTTTTTCCCTTTTTCCACTGTTTGTTCAGCATTATTCGATAGTAAATTCAAATCATCTCAAATTTGACTACGAGGAAAATCTTATACAAGACCTTAACAGTTTGCTCGTCTACTTAAATTAAGCAATACTGCACGGAACAATGTTTATTTTAGGGATTAAATGTTTAAATTATACTGTCGAGAGCAAGTAACAACACCAACAAAAAACTGCAATGTGTTTCTCTATACAAAAAAAAGAGGTGCGCTAATACTCTCACTTGTTAGACTAACTGACGAAGGCTGGATTTTAATATTTATCCGAATCTAAAATACCTAACCATTTTTATTCAAAAGTCGATTTTTCTCTTAATAATAAAATATGGTTAATTCCAACATATCACCCCAAAATAAATGAAATAAAAAACTACCCACATATTTTGATAAATATTCCAAAAATATCTACAATATTCTTACCTTATACCGATAAATTATATATTCCGAAAGTTTCAATCAAGTCCAATTAATTAATTCATGTTAATAAGGATTCGGATTCACTTTCGAACAAATTACAAATATCTAGACAGCGTCTAAAGGAGACTAGACATGGCTAGGCGAACATTGATTGCAGCAAGATGTCACCCACCAATAATCTTGGGAGGGAGAACGAACATCGTGTTCAATAATTAAGGAGAGCCTGCAAGTGCAATAATGTCAGATCTTACTCATATATATTTTGCATCGCCGAAATACAAACCGTTTGTCGAAACATCCACTTCACTTTGGATCAGCTTCCTCAGAGTAAACGTCTAAGTCTAACAAAGAAACACACTCAAAAAATTATGCAAACACGTCTAAAAACTTCTTATCAGAAGCAACTTTTCACTTTCATAAACCTTGTCAAACAAGTTCCTAGCTCAATTTTCAAAGTTGAAACTGACCACCATACCGTCTCTCTGATCCTCAAGCCCACAAAAACACCAAGTCATGGGTTACTACTTACTAAATTTCACGTTCCTATGAATTTCCCCGAGTATCATGACAACTCGTTAATGGACAAAAGAATTTGGAAAGGCAATCTAACTTAAACTGCAAATAACAAGAAAAGTGAGGCGATTAAGCCCGAATTTATTCTTGTCTACTAATAAGATACACTACCATTTAAGTCAACAAAAATGCAAGTTAAACCTCATTTTGCCATTTTATAATGATGATACACAATACAAAAATTAATCAATATTACTGAAACGCAGGGCGGTGGTGGTGCTCGTTTATGCTCTTCCAGCATCTTTAAAACTGAAGCATTCTGAACAATACTTGAGCGCAACAGTAATTCGACTGCTCGTGTCATGAAGTAAATTAACTACATCAAAACGACAATGCCACCTGTATACATTGGTTGAAATAAGACTTTGTATTGGGTACAAACAGCACCATTCGTTCTACAACTTGCAAAATGAACTCATGTAAGATTTCAAAAACCAACACCCTGCTACAGGCCAAGTATGAAGCAGAGTTAGGAATTATAACCTCGGATACATAAACAATCAGAGATATTCATTGAATTTTAGAAAATTGGAAGACCATAAATAATTTTCTGGAACAAAACCAAGAATATGAAGACACAACATAAATAGAAGAACAGATCAGGATTCAAACCTGACGTTGACATTAATCCCTAGCGGAACTTTTTCAGGCGTTTAGGAGGTTTCGTCATTTCTTTCCTTGATTCCTCTTGAGTTTTTTCGTCTCTAAATGGCTGCAAGTATCAACTATCAATATATATAACAAGAAGATAAAAATCAACCATCACAGCACAAAAGGATACTTTCATACTAGATATAAAGGCAGACTGCTAATTAGTTATCATCTCCTGTAAAGAAAATTCCACATTCAAAACACAAATGAATACTTATCAAATATTGAGTAGTTGTGAAAATCTGATGGTGGACTAAATCTCCACTTAGGAGTCTGTGCACTTCAAGAATCAAATTCACTAGGGACCAACAGTAGTTTATTCACCATACTGGGAGTAAGATAGAGTGAAGTTTTGAAATTAAGCAGAGGATAGAAATCTTTCCCAGATAGACAATATTAAGGCTCACTGCAATAGAGAAGAGAATACTGAGAATGAGGAATTTTGGGGAAATTTTCTGTAATATAGATTCAAAATGAAATATGTACTCTAAATGAGAACTTAATGGAAATTACGATTCTCCATTCCCCTAATTCTTACTTGATTTCTTTCACATCCCCTCCCCTCTCCTTACATGTTTTATTTATACCCTTCCCCCAAGTAACTCTAACAAACTGACTAACAGTCCCTAACAATTTTACAGACTCAGCATCCTTCTAGAGACTCCTATTGAGCCCTGCTGTCAAGTTGTTGGCTTTCCCCACCATGTGCTTGCTTGGCCTTCTTACATCTTGTATATGTAAATTTAATTGGGGGCTTATCAAATCCCCCCCCCCCCCAACCCGGGGTCCAATGCAGTCACCTTGTCCGCAAGGTTCAAAGAAGGAAACTGCTGGTTGATTAAGTCAAATGGCTCCCAAGTTGCTTCCATAGGCAACAGACCCTTCCACCGAATCAAGACTTCCATAGCATCTGTACCCTGATTTGGCTGTCTGAATCCTAAGACAAATTCTGGTTCCACAAGTAACTCCCAATCTTCACCAAGTTGAGGGGGGCAAGGAAGACGTTACAGGAGCATTTCCCACCACCTTTCTCAGTTGCGACACATGGAAAACAGGGTGTACACAGGCAGCAGCAAGCGATAAGCCATCTTTTCCACCCTTGCCAACACCTCAAACGGTCCAGAGTACCTCGGGGCTAATCTTCTTAGCAGCATACCACTAGTGACTTATGCCTATACGACCTCATTTTCAAATAAACCTAATCTCCTGCCATATATTCCACATCTCTTCTATGTTTGTCAGCCGCCAACTTCATTTGCTGCTGGGCCTTATGGA